CAACGAGTACGAACTGAGACATTTCCAAGCTTTAATTAGGTAATTTTCATCTGATTGGATGGTATCGGAAAAGTCACCGGCGGTAATCAGTGCAAGGCGCGCCCAGGTCAAACCTCATACTTGGGATTTCCATTTGAAGAGCGCATTGGATTGTGGGAAAATCAATGTTTATCAACACAAATGTCGCACATGCGCAGCGCGACGACCACCGCGCTTTGATATAGTACTCTAAAATATAAAAAAAAATACCCAGCATTTAATTATTTTGCAATAAATTCTACTCCAAGGCAATACAAGGATTCTGAAAAAGCTGGGGTCACCAGCATAATTTTCGGAAAATTGATGGTTGTATTTTAGTGAATAGTTGCCATTTTAGCAGTATTATAACTATCTTTATTAACTATAACTTTTACTATAGATTCCTATGACATATCTCAAATTATAGACTGGTAACATCGGGTGATGGTATACTTTATGTTGTCCCGAATTTGTTCAGAAATCTGGGTTTAAAAACTGTCAATGGAGTTATAAAAACAACGATTTTTGAAAAATATTAGGTCAAATTTCTCAAAAAACTGTAACACACAAAATAATGCTATTTCTTTATGCCATGGGACAATATCTCTATGATTTTCCACAATAGACTAATGGACATTGTCATGCGATTTATGACCAACACTCTCAAACAGTTTGTGTTGGCTTCTACTTTAAGGCACCTTTATTGATTTGATGTTCTGAATACAAATTGTTTTGGGGATTCGTCATTAAAAACCCTTTGCCGTCTTTTGCCAAAATAGACGGCAATCTTTTGCCAAAATAACTGCAAGACATTTTTGAAAACAAAAACGGGAAAATTACAGATAAAAATAACAAAAAAAATGTCTCGGAATTTCAGGTCCTTTTAACAATTAAGGTTAATCAAAGAGTTGTAAACTAGCTAAAGTCTCAATAAACATGATTACAGAATCCCACACTACTTGAGAGTTGGCACTTGGTCCACATTATACATATTGTGTTCGAATAATTCCCACATCACAAAGTACCTCAGGACAATCAAGTCTAGGCAGGATTTGAGGCACATGCAAGCCGAGTTCTTCTCGTTTGTAAATCAGTTGAGAATCAACACAACTGTTAAAAGGATGTTTAAAATAACCCTTTCATATCTGATTCTGATCAGTAGAATCGCAAGATAATATGCCCTTATGCAAATGTATAATATCTAAATCCAGAATGTCCAAACTTGAATTTATTCATGGTGACACCCTTAATGTTGTAGTCACATTTTAACGTCAAATGGCGTTTCGTTTCAATTATCCCGAGAGAAAGAAATCCATGCTATTTCCAGAAATTGTAAGTATCTAAGTATATATAAGTGCTCACATTAAAGACCACAGATATGCTAAAACCAAAGAGATCGACATCAAGGAATTCCCAAACGTCAAATCCAGCCGAACACTGTTCTGCATACAAAGTACTAATACCCAAATAAGCTTGGTTAACTCCAAATCTGACAAACAAATTCAATCATATCATTTGAAGAAAAGATTCACCACTCTTTAAAACCTAGTTGTTACACAGCTGGCCTTCTTTACCGGCGCCACCGTGTCTGAATAGTTGTCATTCACAAGCCTAACAATGTTAATTAACAATGTTAATTGTATGTCATCAATGCCGATGCTTCCCATATATGTATCATGTATAACCTGTGTTTCCATCTTTTTTATCTAGGCTCTGGTAGCAGCCAGGGTACCCCCTTCTAAATGGCAACCCGACGATGTCCTCAGTAGTATCCTGGCTGAACAAGAAGACGACGGTTCTTTTAATGGCCACCTGATGACAACTATGCAGGTATTGCCATCGCTGGTCGGTAAACACTACAGTGACATCAACACTGAAATGTGCAATATAAAAGAGCAAAAAGGTAAACGCACAGTTGCTGTTTGACAGACAGAACTTGCCAATTAAATATGGAATATTGAAGTACCTTGTTGTTGAACACCAATTAAGAATAGATACAAGTATACTCGAACTATTTCTTTATATTAACATAATTGATTGCAATTTGTGTTCAAATGAATTGACCGAGATTTATTGATCAGAAGACACTACTCGGCATTTACTTTACTTAAAGTTCTCGGGGGGAATCAACGTAAAGCTTTCAGGGAATAACCATGTCACATCTACAAGAATATTATTTTACATACATACATACATACAATTCCTAGGAAAATCGTACAAGCTTCTCCCCGGCCGCGAAATAAATTTACATATATACTGTTTTCGATAATGTACATACCCAAGCCTGAGTTTTCTCATCCAATACAATCGTGCTAATGTAGGTTCCCATACTATATATTAATTTACAACCATAGTGACGTCACACGTCACATTTGTTTCAACCTATCATGTTATTGTTTTGTTTTTCTTTTTAGAAGAACAGGATGCCATTAAGTTGCACAATCCAAACTCTAGTGAAGACACTATCACCGTTAATATAACGGTGATTGATGCTGTTAATAATGGCAACACATTGGCTTCGTACAGCGTGAATGCGCCTCCAAAAACCAGTCTATATAGTATCATGGAGGGTATTACAGATCTCACGTATGTACAGCTGCTAAGGACTAATTACTAATCAATCAATAACAATATTTTTATCAATATTATTTCGGTTTTATTTTTGACTCTTTAATTATTTATAGATAAATGACTTTATTATTTTTATCCGTTTTAGTTTTGAAGCAACCGATAGTGCATGGGGTCACTATATTCAATCAATGTTTGGTATCCGAAGCGACAACGTGAAACAAACTTACTGGGCCATTTACAAAAATTACTTGGAAACACTGGCAGTTGGTAAGTTTGTTTTTGGTAAACAACACCGCTATGTATAAAAGCGTGTGTGTATACCATAATGGTATATATATTGCAAAAGGCTTGTGTTCTTTTATATGGAGATGGTGAACAAAATCTCTCTCAATTTGTGAACATGTATATTGTACATTGGATTTAACAAACATTGCACCTTGGTTGAGAATGTGCAACTTTAGCCAACGTCTGGCGCTGACGAGGAGATGTTCTTCATGAATTATTGAAAAAGGTTGCCCAAGAATGGGGTTTGAATCCGCAACTTCTATAAATAGAAGCCATGAATCAACATATCACAATCGACAAAGTCAATCCAAGACGACATGTGGTTCGTGTGAAGCTCGAAATATGCCACTATTTTATTATTACCATTACTACTATTATTATGGTTTTGAATTATCTATGGCAAATCGTTTGGCTGATCCTTTTTCGTTTATGCAAATTAAGTGCAGGTCAACAATGCAGCAAGACCAGTCGAGCAGCCAGCAGCCAACAGTTAACTATACATCTTGTCTGTTGTAATATAAGCCATACGATTCCATACACGACAATGAGGTTTTTAATTGTAAACTTGCTTGTAAAATGATGTTTGAAATGACCCTTTCAGCCCTGATTGTAAGCGTACCAATACCTATTCCTATAATGCATTGCGGCGAAACTGCATATTTCGTCGGTAGTCGTATATTGTTTGTGAAACGATACAATCTATTTAAATCTATCGAACTATGTTGAGTAAATATTACCATCTATCAGGGTTTCGACCTACTCACCCCTTTTTTTTATTTTATCGTTATTTTCTGTAGGAGTGGACGATTATTACCCTGAAGATGGTGATCACGTGATCTTCAAGTTCGTCAATTACGGGAATTAGTGATTAGTCTTACATTCCGCTTGGACTGATATTCTCAATTTATTTACTTCAATTGTTCGAAAAGAAGCGAAAAAAATACAAAGTAAATTTGATGACCATATATTTTTATCTAGCTTTTGTGAACAGCGACACAGACTAAAACGATGTTGTCAAGGAAATCAAAATAAGCTTAATCACAATGGCGGGAACTTGTTTTGCCAAGCTAATGGTGATCTGAAGCGATGGACCATGAGAGTTGTATTTTTTCACATGTTCTTTCAGTGATTGTCATATATATATATATCTAGATGGAATAAATTAAGTTAGAAATAACATCATACCAACCAATTTCATATGTTCATGAAGACAAAATAACATTAAATAACTGAGTATATTACAATATATTGTCAAATTAGTAAATAATAGATGATGGATATTAAAGCGTTCAGGTTTGGTGTCGCACTACAATAGACCGTTTGCGAGTTTCTGTGTTCGAGCACGGCATAAATATCCGCCATTTTGTATTCCTTATTTCTAGATGGTTGCTAAGAAACCGGACTGTAATCTTCCGAGTATCTATTTATTATAAAAAAAACGATGCTGCAGAATCACTTATGAGAAAAAAAACATCATTGTGTCAACACAGGTGGCGCTATTCAGCACAGACGGTTGGTTTGCGGCGATCTGCGTGTCAATGAGAAAAACATAGATATTATTTCTTGTAATTTGATTAATTGATAACTTGATAATCTGTTAGTAAACTAGCAAACACGGACTGGACAACTTTCTAATCTTATCGCAAATAAGAGTCACTCATTGTATTTCCCCTCTGGTTACCAATCTTCGTGTTTTTCATTTCTAGTGTAACCATAAATGTAAAATATCACCCTTCCTGATTGATACAACCGTTAAATAAAAGCACTAAAATTCACATCGAAACTTGTTGAAAATAATTCTGGCTCCGATTTAGGTATATTGGGTTAGTCTGAGAATGGAATGGAATTTCTAAAAAAAAAAGACAATAAATGTATGAAAAATAAAGTACCAACTATAAACATTTCCGTCGTTTTAGAAACGTCAAATTCGGATAAAAATGTTAAATAAAATCAGTCCAAATCTTGCCGGGCCTAATCTTCTCTTTGTTCAGTGTGTGTATGACTTGAACTGTGATAAAAAACACTCTCTTAGCGATATTTGGTCAGAGGATGTCAAGTATGCCAGGAAATAAAAGTTAAAATATTAGCAAAATCAAAATTTCGAATATGCCAGGCGAAACTCTTATAAATCTTGAATCAAGTGACCAATCGAAACGGGAATCAAACATCGATACCTCAAATTTAGTATGATTATCACACAAATATTTAATCACACTGGTGTTTATAGTATGTCAAATGGGAATTCGTGAATGCCGAATCCGGAGTTATTCCGTGCACTCCTCTGTGAATAGTCACGCCAAGTGTACAGCGTGCTAACATATACGGGGCCGTGGTATGCAGAATTCTGTCCTGTAATTGATACCATCACAATATGTTTATATGGCGAGATGTATTTAACTCGACCGTATACCCAGAATGCATTACATTTAGAAACGGATACACATATTTCCTTCTGTACCCCCAACCCTAACCCTACTCTTACATTCCGGCGCTCCCAATTTAATTGGGGATTAAATTGTTCAATTGTATACTAGTATGCCCCTAGATAATCAATACTTATCTAGAGTAGCATATGTAATTGAAGGGGGTGGGTGGGAGTGAGGGTTAAAGTTAGAGTTAAGGTTGGGGTGTGTACAAAAGGAACTCTTTTTTCGAAAAGTAATTCTCCAGGTTGTATTTAAAGATACAATATGGACGAAAACATATATCAAATTATGATATATCGTAAACTTTTGCAGGACATACAAAAGTGCCAGTTAGATGAAAAAATAAAATCATTAATACGCATGCGCTGTGATTGTTACTGTACGTACCAAAACAACCAGTGCGCATGCGTACTAAAAAGTTTCATTGTTTCATCGAACAAATACTGAACAATGTACTAGAACAGCGTCAATGAACTCATCAACATATAGTATTAACAACAATACTCAAAAGTACGTATTCGCGTCTACTGCGTAACATTGCATTTTAAGGCAGTGACTGAGGCGAACACACCTGACAAGGCGTAGTATTGCTGTCAGCAGTACGAATATTTTCGTTTTCATTATTAAAATGTCTTCCTCATTTACAAGTAATCGTGTATCCACCTCCGATCATTTCCCTATAGTAAGAAACAGATTGACCCCAATCCCCTGCGGAATTACAACAAGCGAAACTGGACCAGACTTTAAATTCTGTTAGGGGGCTTGACTTTTAGTTTTATGGGAGGCAGGAGACCGGGTGGGATATCATCGAGAACGTTCACGTAGTTAACTCACCTACCACCTACGACCGATACCCACGTAGACCACACGTAGTGTGCTAACGCCCTTTATCGGTTGGCGGGTATTCTATTATTGTATAAAATCGTCTTTTGAGCAGGTACAGTGAATAGCAGAAAGATGTACCCGATGATCATCTTTCATTCAAATTGAAATATTCAATAGTGATTGAACCGAGAGCTCCACATTGTCTTGCACATTGGATGATGTTGAACTAACTCATTAATATTAATTATGATGTCGTCATATCGTTTCTAGATTTGTCAATTTGAATTCATTCTACCAGTCATTTTAATTTATAAAAAACTATATTTATAAAATGTTCATATCGACCACAGCTTTGTGCCTTTCAATGTATATGCTTTTTCCATTTGTGACGAGTCTGTTTCGTTTTTTGGTTTTGTTTGGGACAACGCTGCTATTGTCGACTTGTTCTGAAAACTGGTTTGCAAATTGTAACGATGCTTATTGTCGGTGACCTCATACGAAAGTGTTAAAGCGGGAGGGTCGTCACCTGCGCACGCGCGGGAATTGAGTTCCAAGCGACGATAACAACACACGTTAAAACGCAAAGGTTCATGGTTAGACGCTTGTTTGTAAACAATGACAGGCTATAGCTGTCTGACGTATGCGCAGGTGAAGACTCCCCCGCTTTAAATGAGAAATATGTCTTGTGTGTTTCTGAGAAATTTGCTAACTTTCAGCTGATATTATGGTATCAGTGTGAGATGGAATCATTGTGTTGTTTGCAATAATGTTGCTGCATATTTTTCACATACTACAATGTTACTGCTCGGTACTAAGCACGTCCAAATAACAACTAATTCATCTCAAATAATTCGTGTTTATAACTTTGTGCACAATATATTATCAGTATTTGAATAAGCTTACACGTCACGTCTTGAATTTTCAAGGTGTAATGTTCCAGCTAACTGCATCTATATGATACAATATACCCGGAACTGTAACCAAGGAACTCAGCATGTTTGAAATTGTAATATTTGTAACGACGAATTTGATTGAGCCACAACTTTACTATGACGAGAACTTCTCGTTCGCACCTGACGATAAAACAGCAGCGTTTTCGCTGATACTAAAAAAAAACTTACGGGCAAAGTTGTCACAGCAGATCGCGAGCTAATTTTGACCAGTAAGCGATTTGTTTATCAGAAATTTGCATTCGGTTGGCAAAAATGTAAACAACTGACGTCATAGAGCAACGGCCTATAAGTGAGAAGGGTATATGCTCTGCATAGGTATATTAGTGGTGAAAGTGCGGAGGTGAAAATTAAACAGAACAGTGCGGACGATACAGTTTTCACCTCCACATGACCCATTCTTCACGTCTGCACGACCCATTCACCACGTCTGCACGACCCATTTTTCACGTCTGCACTACCCATTCTTCACGTCTGCACGACCCATTTTCGCCAACACACAACCACTTTTCTCATAATGCGTTCTACATTAAATAAATGGCGAAAGTGATAACAATGCCAGTATATGAACGAGGAAGTGGAATTGCCTATATTTTAAAAGTAAAAGTGTTATGAGCATTCTATATTTATCCGAGCCTTCCAAGAACCATTACGTCATATCCGTCTTATCCGACTGAGTCAATATCAGCATAGCTACTCATAGTCACAACGCAGTCAGGCAACCTAGTGTGAGTGCGCAGTTATATTCGATAACAAGACATGATGGCTGGACAATTTACCGTTTTCCTTCTGATAACTCTCGGTTCCTTGAACGTTGCAGAGAAGGTTTGTGGTAAGTCTGGTCGATATGTGATAATGTTAGTGTTTGAGTAACAGTCAGTTTAGTCAGAAGTATAAACAATTTAGTGTATATATGCAAAGTCTGTTCCGTTACATACATATGATGGCCAAAATAGGCTCCGCCACGATTGGATTCAAATAGCCGCAAATTCTTGTACACAAATCACAATACAACAACGATCACTTCATGCAGTAATTACTGAGCATAGCGCTTGCTTTGAACACAATACTCAACAAAGTTTTACAATGTGACGTCATATTATCGATTTTTTGCCAACCAGTATAGGCTACATCGCAATACCAAATTAAAGTACACTGTGGGATAGTTATGTCAGATTGCACGAGCGGGCACGCTTTGTGATTGACGGAGTTGCATTTGATTCGGTCAGAACTATTCCACAGTACAATATCAATAGCGATATGGTCTATGCGAATGCTTACCAGTGCCACTCACTGATCAACAATAGCTCACAGCTGCCGTGACAACATTGCCCATTCGTTGTTTTACTGGGAGGAGCACGTACATGTTTACGCAATAACAACAGCAGCAGTAAACAACGCTGTTATTTTTGTTCTTGTTGTTCATGCCAATAATGCAACCACTGCTCACACTCTCTGTAAGCGTGGATGTACCAATACAACTTGTATTTTTCTATCGCCCCCTCGAAAAAATGTTGGGGGGCGTCGCAACTCCAAAATCAAGCTGAAACCCTTTGTGTCAGCAACATTAACCCCTCAAAATGCAGGAAATAGCGTTTTCGAGGGTCTAGGTTTTAAGGGGGAACATGCCACCAGCCACCTTAGTAAGGCCGCGTCTTCTGCGCAAGTTTGGTTAGCAGATCTCGCCCCATGCAACATTTCGTTCCGCCGCCCCTGTTTTGCCAACGCTTTCAACAACCACATGACACATGGGAAGCTGACTGTGGCATGACACCATTTGTACTGTTATAATCTTGTGAAATACGTCAATATCACCAGTTTGTATCAAGAGCCTTTATTTTGGTAACATCAAAAGCGACAGAGACAGGTTACAGGTGTACTGACACGTCATAAGTTCTCTCTGTACTTACTCTCACGTTCAGTAAATTTCCGCATATATACTCAAGCGTGTGACCCAATCTACGTGTGATTTTAGAGTATTTACTGACCCATGACAGCTGCGTCAAGCAGAGTGAGCAAGTTCCCTTTCATCCTCAATTCCGTTGTCGATGGTGGGCGTTCCCTGGAAACCCAACTCAGAATAGCCCATCCTTATTCCGTGGAAACTGACATTATTTACATAAGCATACACTCGTAAATCTCTTCGCAGGCAAACCATTATTAACCAAAGTTCTGTTGACAATTCAATGTTCGGTTGTTTACCAAATCAACAAGAACTTAACGAATTAAAAATTGTACTTTTTTTTCAACCAATTGCATGTATATATATATATAGTAAGGTTTCAATTTCAGTCACCAACTCAACTAAAGTTTTTGAGTTGAATTATTGAAATTATTATTTTTATTCACTTTGTGTTGCTTCGATTTGTTTTTCAGGATGATGATAATGTTGATTACTAATCAAATATTGTTTGCAGAGAAACACTTTTGTTGTATGTATTGCCGTGTTTTAAATGCACGAACATCCGATCACTTAATGTAGTCGTTGACTCCCACTCAGGTGTCAAATTTCATGCGACTGATTAATAGCTCAGCAGGTCACATATCAAAACAACAACGGACTTTTCTTGCGCAGCATCTCCCAGTCGTATGTACATCCGGGTATATAAGGGTCAGCTAATACTGTTTAACCAGCAAGTCAGTGACCCGAAACTATTCCAGTGACAGCAAGCAGTTACATTCCATTGTATATTCTAATGAATGTTGCATTTCAAGTCGCCAGTAGGTTGCACTCATTGAGAGTACAATCACAACGTATCATAAATCTAACAAAAGGTTCATCCACGACTCCACAAAAGAAGAAACATCGAATTTAAGCGGGGGAGTCCTCACCTGCGCATGCGTCAGATGGCCATAGCGTGTCATTGTTTACAAACAAGAGTCTACCCATGAGCCTTTGCGTTTTTTAGCGTGTATTGTTATCGCTTGGGACTCAATTCCAGCGCGCGCGTGCGCAGGTGACGACCCTTCCGCTTTAAATGAATGCTCGCTTCATAGCCAACAACTTCGCGAACGAAACAACAATATCACGAGTAAGAGCAGACCGTGCGACCGGTGGTGGAGTGTGTATGTTGAATCCACGGTGAGACAAGCGACTACAACTACTTCATAAGCGCTTTTTACCTAGAAATCCACACATGGGTGCTATGCTCTGGCTTCCACCGCAACACATCATGCGGAATTTATTTGACTTTTTAAACGTGAAGCGCGGGAATTGAGTTCCAAGCGACGATAACAACACACGATGAAAACGCAAAAAACTCATGGGTAGACGCTTGTTTGTAAACAACGACACGCTATGGCCGTTTGCCACAAGCATGAAACTATTCATCATTACGATTGGCATAGCCCTGTACTGTACTTTGTACTAACACAGAGCGAATCTGTATGGCATATCGACATCCAACATACATCCAATAAAGAACAAACATTTAACGAAAAAAATGGCCGCTAGTCGGTTAATTTGAATCGTATCAAATTTTGTTGTTCTTGAATAATAATAGTATTTGATTTATAGGTCACTTTTTCAATATCGATACAATCGAATTTTTTGGCTTATAATATTCATTTTACTAGTTCCGTTCACCTTGCAGGTCCTGATACCAGTGATGAATTGAACCGATTGGCTGTGAATGCTT